AATTCAGAAACACAGTTTATTACAGAAAGTGTAAATAGTAAGCAGACTGAACTTGGATTGCGCTTTACACTACAGTCACTCACAAATTCATTCACACACTCACTATGTTTACATGCACAAATTTTTTGATCGGATTGAAATGTATTCAGATTAAATAATCTGAATGTATGACAAGTGTTTACATGCACCGAAGTTTTATTCAGAATAAAAGTCCGGACATGCGCAGTGTTGTAAACGTTCAGCTCTACTTCCTGTTACAAATGTAAACAAAGCTCCTCTGTGCCTCAGGACGGACCCGTGTCAGCTTTTAATAACGGTAGGGACGTCGTTACTCCTCGATTGAGCTGCAGATGAAGCAATACGTGTTTTTTTTGTTTTTTCGAAGCAACGTCTGCTGTTTGTCTCCTTTTTATCTGTTGAGAGAGCGTGGAGGAAAAATTCTGCGCGGTGCAGCGCAGCTGGAAACTAGTGCTGCTGCCCCGCCTCCTCTGAAGAGCAGAACCAGATGGATAAAGTCAGAAGACATGCGCACTCGGGTCAGTTTTCTACAATCAGAATAAGATGATCAGATTAAGTGTTTACATGAACGTCATTCCGATTATCAATCGGCATAACCCACCCGACTCTTTCGGATTAAAAATTCATTCGGATCGAGCTCAATCAGATCAGAATAATCCGAACAGGCTGTTTACATGACACATTTTCTTTCCAAACGGCCGTTTAATCCGATTACTTATGTCCATGTAAACGTAGCTACTGATGGTGTTCAGCTACATTGTGGCCATAGCTGCCCTGGGGCACACTGCCAGAGGTAAGGCTGCCATGCACCGGTGTCACTGGACCTTCTGACCACCAAACGTCTCTTTTGTTGACTAGCTGTACAGGAGTTTACGGTAACACAGATTGTTTTTGACGTCTGTCATGGCGAAGTGGGCGGTCTTTTGCGGTGCATGACGTCACATGCAAAGGGTCAATAGAACTCTGTGGCCCTCCCATCACAAGCTGACCTCAGTTTAAAACTCTGGCACCAGAGGTTGTGGAGGAAATCCACAATTCTTCCAGGAATGCTAGGGTCTTGGTTTTTTTAGTCTCAACAAATCATCTCACAAGTATTCTCATGAAACCCACCTGCTACCAGGAGGAATGTGTCCCCAGTTGAGTCTCCAGGTGATCATGGGTGTGGGAACTCCAACAGCCTGACAGGTGAACATCACCGTCGAGCCCCTCGCTGCCTGAATCGACTCCGGGGGACTTATTACAGTTGGAGGGGCTGTGTCACGTAAAGAGGACAAAAATGCTTTTAATCACAAAACAAATGTACAGAAGTGCTGTTATGAGACTGTCATTTGTGGATCTGGTAAAGTTCATAAACGCCTGACGAAGGAGAATAACTCTGTGCTGCGAACAACTTCCTTCATATTCTCCCAAGAGACAGTTGAAAGGAAGCTATTCTCATATGGAAAATGTGCTTTCACACTGAGTCTGTGGCAGCAAACAATGGAGTCAGAGCAGGGGAGTCCAGAGAGAGAGAGAGAGAGAGAGAGAGAGAGAGAGAGAGAGAGAGAGAG